TGTACAATCAATTTCAGGCTGAAGAAGTTGGTAGAATTCTTCATTTTCATCATGACTGGCTTTAGTGGTTGATGCATGTATTTGAATAATAGGAGTATTAACCAGTTTTCCCTTTAGGCACAGACAACATTATACTTCAATATAGATCTTGACATGTTCTTTTTCATGAGGAATGAGATGCCATTCCGCTTCAATTTATAGTTCATGGCATAGTAAGCTATGTTATTATCAAATTCAAAATGGCCAATACCAATCAATTCTAACTTGCCAGTGCCTAGGATATTGATCATTATGTGTCCCATTTCATTTTTGACAACTTCCGATTTTCCTAGATTCATACTTAGTACGTTCCACGTTCCAATTATTAATGGATGTTTCTCCTCATTAGCAAATTAAGTTTCCCCAAAACTTTAATCCACTCTTGTCATCATCCACTCTATTTTGCTGAGGCAGCTCTTCCCCAGTTGTAGTTTGAGTGCCTTGAAACTTGAGGGGCTCATCTTCCAATACTATAAATCACAATTTTCTTGTGCTATTTATACTGATTCAATATTCAGTATTCTGGTTCTATCTGATAGTGTTCCACTGCTATGCATAAAGTTTTCAATGGCTAAACATTCGGAAATAGTCATTCTCTCCTTCCTAGTGTGTCTTAGTCTGGAAGCTCAGCTGAAACCTGTCCACCATGGATGATCCTGTTGATATTTAAAATACCCATGGCATAGCTTCCAGCATCACAGCAATATGCAAGCCACCACACTACACCATGCTGACAGATGAGTGGCGAGGAAACAGGTGTATCCAATGCAAAGTATCCTTAAGCTGCTTCTCACCTAGAGTGTGAACTCTCAATGAGACCAACACCAGTCCAATGGACCTTTCGTCCATTTATTTGCACATGAATTAACTGTGTGATTAGTTAAAATACAGATTTGGGCTAAGTAGACTCAATTAAAACTGCCAAGAAGCAAAGTTTTGGAGGAGAAGCAATTGCTGGAGTTCCTGACAGTGCTTTCAACCAGTTCAATCTAAAATCAGAATCAATCTAGATTCGGATTCTGTATACCTAGCATAGAAATGCAAATTCTTAGCGGGGGTGGAGTGGTCAAATCAGAATGAACAGGTTCAATACCCTGCTTTGTAAATCAGTAGGATGTGAACTTCCAATAATCCCCAGGTGGCAATGATTCTCTCTGGTTCAGACTACACTTTGCTCAGAGTGTCGGCATGTATGTCTAGAATAAGATAGCATTTCTCTGTCTTCCTGGGTATCCAACACTGCCTTGTAACCAAAATTGGGGTGGGTTCATTTTACCCTCGTGAGATTGCTCAGCAGATGAGTGCATTGGAACGTGTAGGGTTAGGTACCTTTATAAAACCACAATGAGGTCAGAGACAGGTTCTAACTCAGGTCTGCTGAGCTGCTGCTGTTTCTGTCTGAATTGAACCCTGGCACTGCTCTGGTCTCGCTTTAGAGCCTTGGGTACTGACAGAGCATCCCTCTGCCCCATCTTCATGAGGAGAATGATGGCTTCTCTTACATGGGGTGACTGTGAGCATGAAATGAGATTAAATGACAAAATGCCATTATGGCATATACTGTGTCCTCACTAGTATTAGCATTGTTTGTTATTATCGCTACTGTGTATTCTCTCCCCATACTGGAACTCAGATTTGGGGGGAACTCAACTGCAAATAGCCCTTTCCTTGCAACAGCTTGCCCTCTGGAGAAATGTACCCACATATGAGCGTAGTGGTTACGAATCCGGCTGTGAACCTCAAGGTCAGCAGTTCGGAACTACCAGCTGCTCCGCGGGAGAAAGATGAGGGTTTCTGCTCCCGTAAAGATTTACAGCCTCGGAAATCCTGTTCAGGGTCGCTGTGGGTTGGAACCGACTTGACGGCACTTAACAACAACAACAACAATGAGCCATCACAAGTCATAGTTTCTGGAACTTGATGGAAAGAGGACATTGATGACAAGAACCAGGACTTTGAAGCAGTTCATCTTGGTTCAGTCATGACCAACGAAGTGATACCAGAATGGACCCAAATTTGTAAAATGTGGGTGAATCAGAATGGTAACTGAAAGGGAAACATTACAGGTCAGAGCTCTGCTGGACCTTAGTCTCCCTCTTGTAAAACTGAATCTCCCTCTTATAAAACTATGGCAGTGTATGTATTGCAGAGCAACCAGATCTCTTGGCGGCAGAGTCTGAAACACCAGTGCTTGACTCACTTTGCCTCTTCTAAGACTCTCTTTAGGCAAATTTTCTGCACAAGATATTTTAAAAGCGTCCAAGAGCAAAGATACCAGTTTGAGGACTAAGATGCACCAGACCCAAGCCATGGTATTTCAGTAACCTCATATGCATGTGAAAGTTTGACAATGAATAAAAAAGACCATAGAAGAATTGATGCATTTGAGCTATGGGTGTTAGAGGAGAATATTAAAAGAATTGCTAAAAGATCAAACAGATTTGTTGGAAGAAGTACAGCCAGAATGCCCCTTGGAAGCCAGGATGGCCAGACTTTATCTCTTATACTTCAGACATATTGTCAGGAGAGACCAGTCCCTGGAGAAGGACATTATGTTTGGCAAAGTAGAGGGTCAGAGAAAAAGAGGAAGACCCCCCAACTAGATGGATGGGGCACAAGAGAAGCAGCAGTGTACTCAAATGTCACAACAATTGTGAGGTTGGCTCAGGCTCAAACTGTGTTTTGTTCTGTTGTGCACAAGAGTCGTTATTACCAACTCGATGGCACCTAACAACAATGAGTCAGAATTGACTTCATGTAGTGGGTTTGGTTTTTCAAAAGTCAGCCTCTTGTACAAAAAAAAAAAAAAATGTTATTTAAAAACTGGCAAAATAGACTTGGTGTCTGAGAAACTTATCAAATGATTTGTTGTTATTAGCTGCCATCAAGTCAGCTCCTACTCACAGCGACCCTGTGCACAACAGAACGAAACACTGCCCAGTCCTGCGCTAGCTTCACAATTGCCATTACGCTTGAGCCCCATCCATCTTGTTGAAGTCTTCCTCTTTTGCTGACCTTCCACTTTATCAAGCATAATGTCCTTCTCTAGGGACTGGTCCCTCTTAGATAACATGTATAATATACGAGAGATAAAGTCTTGCTATCTAGCTTCTAAGGAGCATTCTGACTGTATGTCTTCCAATACAGATTGTTTGTTCTGGAATTTTATGGTACTTTCAATATTCTTCTCCAACACCACAACTCAAATGCATAAATGCTTCTACAGTCTTCCTTATTCATTGTCCAACTTTCACATGTATATGAGGTTTTCAATACCAATACCATGGCTTGGATCAGGCACACCTTCGTCCTCAAATGGATATCTTTGCTCTTGAATACTTTTAAAATGTCTTGTGCAGAAGATTTGCCTAATGCAATATGTCATTTGATTTCCTGACTGCTTCTTCCATGAGTGTTGATTATGGATCCAAGCAAAATGAAATATTCAACAACTTCAATCTTTTCTCCATTTATCATGATATTATTTATTGGTCCATAGGCTGGTTATGATTAGGGTAGCCCAAGGCATACTCTCTCCAGGCAGTTAACTTCCCCCTAAGCTGCACCTTTAGGGTCCATGTCCAATACAAGCCCTATGCCCTTTAGCACCTCCTAACCGCCTCCACAGCAGGAGAGGCCAGTACCTCAGAGAAAATCTCTGATGACCCAGAAACTAGTAGCCAGGCCCACCTGACAAAGTTAACAGTTTGTGGGTCACCTTTCAACCTAGAACGATGTGATCTAGGAGGAGTCATCCTACAATGTATGGGCCTGAGGCAAGATGCTAGGGCCTGGGTCCTCATGGGAGATGGGCATATCCTTAGGCAGTGATACCACACGGAACAGTTGCAGGGTCTCAGGGATCCACAGTGTCCTCAAGGAGCATAGATTCCAAGCTCCACCACTGGCTGGCTGGCTGGCTGGCAGGTGGGGAGCAGGGATACAAAGTGAATGGTATAGCTGGCTTCTTGCCGGTGGGTCAGCACTTTAGGCATTGATCCAGGGTGGTAACACCTGGGTTGGGTTTGGAAGCATAACTAGGATTTTTCTCTTCAGCTGAACCTTTTCCCTTTGGTTTTCAGTTTCCCCATCTGAAAATGGGAGGGTTTGCTCAAGTAGTTGGTGGTTCTCAGACCAGAGTAGGCATGAGAAGCCCTGGAGGATTTGAGGTCTCCTTGTTCCTAAGTTTCTGATTCATGGGTTTGAGGTGGAGCCTGAGAATGTGCATTCTAACATGTTCCCAGGTGCTGCTGCTGCTGCTGCTGCGGGCTAGAAGAGTTCTGTGAGTATGAATTTCCCCTGCTTCCCACCTGGATTGAGATCATTCTCCGAGGGATCCCACCCAAGGGCCCTCTTGCCCATAGTGTAAAGGTGCTGAGCACTTGTCAGGGCTGTGCAGGGTAAGGGCACAGTGTTCTCAGGGAGGGCTTGGGTGCATTTCCGTCTCATTCTGGAAGACACATGCCTAGTCCCCCTGTGAACAACTACAGACCTTGTCTGAAGCTCCTCAACCACTCTCCTGGCCTATTCACTTCACACACACCTGTTTCAGGACCTTTACACCTGCTGCCTCCTATATCTGGAAAATTCCTTTGCTCTCCTGGGTACTGTCAGACTTGTCCAAACACCACCTTTACTTCTAGGCTGCCTTGATTATCCACACATGGTGCTACATCCCTGCTGACTTTGTTTTTTGCATCTACTTTCTTCTCTTCCTGGAGATAATCCAAGAGGGCAGACTTTCTGTAGACTAGGCCTCTCCAATGAAGTCATGTTCTCAGAGCAGGTGCTGAAGCAGCCAGGAGCCAGCCCCCTGCTTTAGCTGATAGTTAATACTCCCTGACCCCTCACCTCTATTCCATAGCTTTGCTGAATACCTCCCTTGTATGCACCACATGCCCTGGAAGGAGGGCCTCACAGGGGTGCCTTTGATACCTCACAGTCTTCTTCTCTCTCAGGAAGCTATGCCCCAGACGTTTGTCTTCTCCAGCATACTCACACTCAGCTGTAGTGGACAGGGACAGCCCGGCATGGGGGAGTGCAGCGGCGGGGGTGGTGGCAGTGATTCCAGAGACCTCATCTTCCAAGACGGACACCTCATCTCAGGGTCCCTGGAGGCCTTGATGGAGCGCCTGGTCCCCACAGTGGACTACTACCCTGATGTGAGTGCTGGAGCTGGGGGTGGGGTGGGCATGATGGGCAGTAGGTAGGCAGCCTTGAGGAAAAATGTTGGACGGAGCTCACAGGCAGCTGGCGGTGCAGGGAAGCAGGCACAGAAAGGAGCTGTTCAGACACTAGATCTCCTTCCTGCCCTTCTGGAGTTGGGGCCTGAATTCTAGGCAGAGCTTGAGGGAAGAAGAGGTGTCTCAAGGGCAAGGCCAGCACCTCAGTGCACTGAGAGACTTCATCATGCTCTTTGGAGCTCCTTGGTAACTTAGCAGGTGTCTGTGCATGAACTTCCTGCTGAAGTCCAGGATGATGAGTGAGTGCAGGCCCCCAGGAATGTGCAGATATGAGTGTATTGTGCTTTCAAAGCACAAGCATGTTAGGGCAGGACTGGCCACCAACAAAGCAAACTAGGGCCCCTGCTTTCCTCTCTCTTCCCTCACAATGACATGGTTATGTTGTTGGAACAGAGACATGGGTTTCTGGTCATATGTGTCATATCTCTTCCACCTCCATCAGGCAACATCTCCATGCAGTAGTACACAGTATGGTCTTCCTGCTCCTTTTGCTGAGCTAAGCAATGTTGGAGGGTTAATCTGGCCAGGTTCTACCCAGACCTCTTGTGTGTGTATGGCGTGGGGGCGTGCAAGGTGTGCCCCTTTGTTCTTGGGGTTAGAGCCACACTCGTAGAGTCAGACACAGCTTGCAAGGGATGGTGGGAGGGGAGAATCACTGCCCTCCAGTTTCCATCTATGGATAGCTAAGTTAGCTCAGCTTTCAGGGGCCACTGACATACCCTATATCCAATTATCCTCTCTCCTCCTGGGGTTTCTGAGAAAAACTGCCTTGGCATTGTCACCCATCCATCCACCCATCATCCATCCACAATATTCCTGTTCATCTGTCCATTTGTCCACTTATCTGTCCATTTCTCCATCTGCCCATCCAACACTCCAACACTCTCAGGGCCAGTCAGGGCTATGGAAGTGGTATAGACACACTCTGCTGAGGCCCAGAACTGTCCTAGAGGAGTCTCCTCAGCTGACAGTCACCTGTCATGCCTCCAAAGGACAGTGCTGTGAGGAACCCCACTGCATGAGGTGGGGCCAGGACCCACAGCTGGGCCTGAATCAGATCCAGAGCTGTGCCCTGGGGCTGACAAGGCTATGTCAACCTTAGAAGCCCCATTAGGACTTGGAGGTGAAGTAGACCTATAGGCTGGCCCAGGAGCACCATGGAGCAGACAGTATGCCCAGAGTCACAGACAAGTACACGACAGCCCTAGGATGGGTTAGCTCACCTCGTGGGTGGGCTAACAGGCAGCACTTGTTAGGAAGGCTTCACAGGAGGTGGGGCTTGAGTTGTACCTCTAAAGTTGGCAGGAGAAAAGGAGAAGTAAAATAAAAGTTGTAGGTATGGCCACTAAGAACTAGTGAGGCCATGTTCTGGGCCTGGGACCAATCCACCTAAAACTGTGGCAGGACCCCATACAGATGGCTGACCATGGTTTGTCTTCTTCCTGTCTCCTTTCTTCAGAAGACATATATCTTCACATTTCTGCTAAGCTCCCGGGTCTTCATCCCCCCTCATGATCTGCTGGCCCGGGTGGGGCAGATCTGCCTGGAGCAGAGACAGCAGCTGGAGGCAGGCCCTGACCAGGTAGGGGCTGAGGGAGCTGTCTTTCTGCCCCTCCACTTACCCTCTGGCTCATCTCAAGAGTGGAGCCTGTTCTGAGCAGCTGACAGGATAGGCCCTGATGGGGTAGGTAGGCTTGCTGGGCCCCTGGCATACCTGAGCAGCAGTATAAAGGTTGCACTCAGAGCTGGCTATTCCACCCAGGAAAGACCCCAACAGACAACTCTGCCCATCTGCCTGTCAGTGCCAGAACCCCCAAGCCAGAGGTCTGAGCATAGATCATGGAAAAGAAGCCAGTGGGGCCCATGCTTCAGCCACCTCAGACTAGGGGTCAAGTGAAGTATGCCCAGCTGGTACATACTCATGGTAGTGACCAAATGCTCAGTGACCCACATGTGAGCCAGGGTTGAGGCAGTTGGAAGGCTCACAATACCACAGCAGCCTCTGAGCCCTGAAGGACGATCTGAGCAGAAGACGAGACACCCCTGTGGCATGGATCTGTGACACTCCCGAGACCTGTGTTTGGTCGCTCAGGGGTGCCTAACTGCTGCAAAAATGGCCTGTCCATAGCCGCTGATTATACCCCACATATATATTTCTCTACAAAGGTCTGCAGAAGAGGGCTGTGTGCTTGCCGTTTGCTTCAGATCACAGAGTCCCCTCACAGTAGCTGGTGCTGGGTGGGTATACTCGGCCATGGCTGAAGACACAGGCTCAGCAGATTCATCCTGCTGTCTGGCTGGGCATCTGTAGGGGTCATCCCACTGTATCCTGGCCGCACTCAAGCTAGTGAGTAGACCGGAGCAAGTGAGCCAACACAAACACTCCTGAGGGAGACTGAGTGGAAAGCGAGAAAGCCATCAGTACTAGGAGGTTAGGGAACATAGGTGGCATGGCAGAGCATGGGTGCAGGTGGACAGGCCACGGGGATGAAAAAGGAGGTGGAGCCGTGCTTGGAGCTAGGCCTGAAGTTGGAGGGAAACAAGCCTTAGTGTCCACCAAAGGACAATGTAGAGGTAAGGGCAACAATGTAGTGGGTGGGCTGTGCACACCAGGCCTGCCTCCCCACAGTGAGCGGGGCACTTGAGAAATGCGGGACCTGTGTGTGTGTGGCCAGCAGGGTGTATGGCATGAAGGATGTACATGTCACTTAGTGAGGTGAGGTCTCTCTCAATACCTGCAGCCCTTCTGAGGCTGGGAAAAGCCCACTGTGTCTCTCCCCCAACCAAGATGGTCAAGGTTCCCAGGCCAGTGAGGCCTGTAATTGGGGTGCATAGACCCATGTTCGTATGGAGTCTACAGTGGTTGTTTCTTGGCTTCCAGTCCTGACCAAGAAGCCAGGAGAACAGTTCCCTGTGTCTTGTCCCTTCTCTAGCATGTGCTACCTCATTCTGACCAATAGAGGGCAGGCAAGAGCCCTACTGTACTGCTACTGTCCTGCTTTCATTGCTTACTTTGCTGTAGGTGACTTTTAGTTACAGCAAAGGACTGTAACTTTTAGTTATAGTTTTGTGTGTCCTGGTAGTGATAATGAGTAGAATTTTTGAAAATTAATATAAGTGAAAAGGAATTGATTTAAAGGAAATACACAAAAGTAGTTGTATAAGCAGTTCAGGTGTGGCAAAATTGCAGACAGGTAGGAGGCCCGGGGCTGGATACCAGTCCTGAGGTCAGGGAAGGAGAGAGGTGTGTACAGCTCTTGCCATCTTGTCATTGCTGGGTCTCACGCTTTACCTCATCTCCCCAGGCCAAACTGAAGTCCTTCTCGACCAAGGTCACACAGCTCCTGAAAGAGTGGACTGAGACCTTCCCCTACGACTTTCGGGAAGAGAAGGTCATGGCTGAGCTGAAGGCCATCACTCACTGCGTCACTCAGTGTGATGAGGTTAGGCCTTCCCGCTGACAGGCTTCCTAGGGCGCAGGAGTAGAGATCTACACTCCCTGGACTGCTCAGTAGAGGGGCCAGGTATGAGGAGAGGCTGAGTTAGCCAACCCAGCATCTTCTCAGACCTTGGGGCTGGACTCACCTCTGCAAGCTGGAAACTGTAGGGTCCAAGTAACTGTGGGAAAAACCGTCATGGTGAGAATGTGGGCTGTCCTTTCTTACCCTGTCCCTGGGGCCTACCCAGGTTGTGCAGAATACTAGCCCAGAGGTTAAAAGAGCCCTATCCCTTTTCCTGACTCCCAGCGCACTCTTGGGCCCCTGTAGAGACACACTGAGACTCACCACAGGGTCCGCCTCACAGTGAGCCTGCTGAGGCGCCATTTCCTGAGTGTTAGGAAACCCAAGAGAGCTCTGTGCAGTTCAGGGGTCCAAGAGGGCACGGGAATAGGTCCTTAACTCTTGAGGAAGCCCTTTCTGATGCCCTGGTACCTTCTTCAGGTCCCTCTTGCAGCAATGGAGGTTGTGGGGGAGGGGAAGGGCAGTGGCTCCCTAGCCAGGTGCCACCTTTCAGACTCAGAACCCAGCTTTGGTTCTGCCATCTGCTCCCTCCCTGACAGATATTTCCCCTCATTCAGCAGTCCTTGGAGGCAGAGGGATGGATTCAGAGGGAACAGAGTCCATCTCCTGGCAGGTGGTGGCTGCAGCTCCTCCCTGGGGTCTGAAAGGGGGCTGTGAGCTCAGACTGCAAGTGTGCTCATTAGCCCTCAGACTAGCTACCTGCTCTCACTGCCAACTTCCCAACCCCCAGGAGAACGGGGCTATGAAGAAGGCCATCAGCCAAATGATGCAAAATCTGCTGTTGGCCCTGGCTGCCCGGAACCAGCTCCAGGAGTTCTGGGAGAAGTTTCGTCCACTGGCTATGGACAAAGGGCCTGTCCTCAAAGCAAAGCCACCAGCCACCCAGAAGGACATCCTAAGTGTGTGCTGTGACCCCCTGGTACTGGCCCAGCAGCTGACCCACATCGAGCTGGTCAGTGTAACCCTGTTTCCTGCCCAGGGAGTGGGGTTGTGCTGCCCAACCAGGACCTCCACATGGTACCCAAGGTCCACCCTTGACCCATTAGGCCTGGCTGTCAAGCTGCCACCCACTGGCCAGGCCTGGCCCCTGTGTGCAGTCAGTAGAGGCATAGCGCCCCAGGGTACAGGAGAGGCTAGACAGCATTTTCCTGCTTAGGTATCAAAGTACTCCAGGAGGAAGGAGAGGCTGGGGTTTACAAGAGAGCCAGACTCTTCCCAACATCACCTGGCCTCTGCCAGGAAAGCACCCCTACAAATGGCAGCCCCCTAACACCCACACTCCCATTGCAGCTATGTCCCAGAGGAGGGCCTCTCAGTCACCTAGGGTGAATGTGGTGGGACCCAGCAGAGGCCTCAATTCTGGAGGCACAGTTCCTTAGGAAGTAGCTGAGACTTGTTCTTGATGGCTTCACTGCTGCTCTCAACCCCCTTCTCCCATGGCCCCAGAAGTGACCCTACCTGGTATGTCTGAACTGCCCAAGGATGGTGTACTTCTCACCCCCAGGAACGGATCCACAGCATCCATCCTGAGGACCTGGTGCAGATTCTTAGCCATAGGGATTCCCTGGACAACCAAAAGGTGAGTGGGGCTTTCCACAGCCCCTGCTGCCTCCATGGACATGGACCTCACCTGGCACACAAGGACCTTGTGGGTTATGCATGCTGGGAAGGGGCAGCAGGCTCAGACTGGAATCAGGGGTTAGCCTGGCCCCTCAGCTTATCCTTTGGCTAGGCAGTCCAAGGAGCAATCAGACACTGTCTGGACTTTCTGTGAATGGGCAGAGCTGGGCCAGCCTTGGGGCCTTATCCAGTGTATCCTACCCAAGTCCCTCTGGCCTGGCCGTGTGCTTTCTGTTCCTTGAGCTGACAAGACATGCTTCCCTGTGACTTAGTGTGTTTCCCACAGTGCCGAGGGGATCAGGCTAAGACCTACAGCCTGGAGGCCTACGACAACTGGTTTAACTGCCTCAGCATGCTGGTGGCCACCGAGGTGTGCCGGGTAAGTCAGCACACAGTGTACAGCTAGAGAGTGCCACCTTCGTGCCCAATCAGGCAATGTGGGCATGATTCCTGCCCAGCTCACGTGACAGGATGAAAGTATAAAGTAAATAAGTGTAGCCCTTATGACCTGGGCCTGGAGGTGCTAGCCTCCCACATGTCACCAGTAACAATGGGAATGACAACAGGCCCATCATCCAGTTCAGGCTCCCTGTGTGCCCAGCTCTCCCTGTTCCATGTTTCCTTCCTCTTATGTAGTCTCCCAACCCTTAAGTAGCCTCTCTCCCAGGACACTTTCTACCTCTCCTGTCCTGCTGAATAGCCTAGAAGCTACATGTCAAGATGAGGGTCTCCTGGTCAGTATAGTTGTGCAGGGTGGTGGGTGACCACCTCTGGTAGCCCTCCTCAGCTCTGCTCAATTCTGCCTCCCTCAGGTGGTGAAAAAGAAGCAGCGGACCCGCATGGTGGAGTTCTTCATTGATGTGGCCAGGGAATGTTTCAACATTGGGAACTTCAACTCCATGATGGCCATCATCTGTGAGTGAGACAGGCAGCTGGCCTTACCACCCAGCCCTGCATGAACGGGCCCACCTATCCTGGCCCTGACCTCAACCTGCTGTCCTTACAGCTGGCATGAACCTCAGTCCTGTGGCACGGCTGAAGAAAACGTGGTCTAAAGTCAAGACAGCCAAGTTTGACGTCCTGGAGGTAGGTGCCATTGCAGCCCCATGTTCTTCCACCCCATTGTACACTGATTGGAGAAGGGCCTCCTTCTGATGGATGGGGAGGACTTTCCCACCATGCTTGGTTTCTGCTCCCTCAGCACCCGCTGCCTGACATGCACGTACTTAGCATGTATGTACAAGTATGTACCTGGCTGATGCCTTCATCCATAGGAGGCCAAATCACTTAAGCCCCTCCTGACACTTACTTCTTCACTAGAAATTAGCATCACCCAGTGCAAATTCTGACACAGAGCAGGGCCATAGTCTCTGAGTCTGCAGAGTGTGACTAAGCCAAGTCCATAAGCCTTGTCTTGGCTGGACTCCTTGAACATCTCGGTCACCCAGAGGCTGGCAGAGTTCATTTAAAACATTCCCCAGATGTATTTGACAACTGGATCCATTTTTTTGTGAACATTTGTGTCTGTGGAACTGGTCAGAATTTGGAGGTGTCAGTATGGACAAAGGAGCAAAGGAAGGATGGAAGAAGAGGGGCAGCAGGATAGCATTGAGATGTGGGCTGGGAGACTTCTTGTAAAACTTGCCTGAGGACCCTCAGGCACTTCCTGAAAGCTTCTGGATACTGGTGTGCAGCCCCTCAGCTACCCCTTCACTTCCTCCAAAGAATAGCAGGGAGGTGGGGCAAAGCGGAGAAGGTCTCTTCTGATGACAGTGTGGGGCTGCCTCTGCAAAGGGGCTATCCTGAGCAGATCTGGCAGGGGGTGGGGTTAGCAGAGTCCCTGCCCATGTGACCCAGCCTCATGCAGAGTTCTCCTTCGTTCACACTGTCTACAGCATCACATGGACCCATCCAGCAACTTCTGCAACTACCGCACAGCCCTTCAGGGAGCCACACAGAGGTCCCAGATGGCCCACAGCAGCCGAGAGAAGATCGTTATCCCTGTGTTCAACCTCTTCGTGAAGGACATCTACTTCCTGCACAAAATCCATACCAACCGCTTGCCCAATGGGCAGGTGAACTTCAAGGTGAGCTCAACTCCGTGGGGTCTGAGAGCGGGGCCTGGTTGTCCCAGCACAGGCAGAGCAGAGACACAGGTGGTAACATATCTGCAGCTAGTAACTTGGTCATGTCCAAGCCTAAGGGTTTTCTGAGCCCTGCCTGTGAAGCTCAGAAAGGCTCTTGGTACCCAAAGCTGTAGGGGCTCCCAAAGCCACAGAGGCTTTTTGACACAAATCAAGTGTGGGCCCTGCCCTTATGTGATGAATGATCTAGTTACTGAGCTTGAAGCCACAGGAACCATGTATTGAACCAGGACCCTGGTTGAAGTGCAGATAACACCAGGAAGTCAAAAAGGCTTGGAGGACAAGAAGGCTTTAGGCAAAAAGGGGCTTGGGCAGAGAGGAGGAGGCAAAAGATTCCAGCAGGAGATGAGGAACCTGCCTAGGGTCTGAGGATTCCTGTCTAAGGGCAGTGGGCACGGACGCAGAGGTGACTGTGATGGGCTGGAAAGTCCTGATGGCAGGTTTTCTGAGGCTTGCTGTCTTCAGGTAAGGGGTGGGAAGGAGCTGTGGATTTTCACACAGCCACTAATTGTGCAAGGGATGGCATTTTTTTTAGTTGGTGTACCATGCTGGGCATAGTCAGGATATCTGCCTCGTCCCTGGACTTTTTTTTTTTTTTTCCCCCATCTATAGACTTTTATTAAGGGTGAGGAAGGTGACCTCTGCCAGAGAGAGGAGGCAGGAGGCAGAAGAGAAGAGATAGGAAGAAGAGAGCATCCCTGGACTTTTAAGGAAAGGGGCACAGGCTGCTCTAGTCTAATGGCCTGACAGAGGGATACCTGCTGGTTCTGTCTTGAGTGATTTCTCTACATGAGCTTGGCCCACTAGGGCCACAATCTCATTTCAATGGGGCCCATGAAATAAGCAGCAGTGCTAGGCCAGAACCTCCATCCCCTGACCCTGACCAAGGATCTGAAACTTTAAGTGAAAAATGAATATTCGGTTGGTTTTCTGCCCATTCAGAAATTTTGGGAGATCTCTAGACAAATCCATGACTTCATGACGTGGACGCAAGTGGAGTGTCCCTTTGAGAAGGACAAGAAGATTCAGAGTTACCTGCTCACAGCACCCATCTACAGCGAGGAAGGTGAGGATGCTCCTCCAGGAGCTGCCATGTCCACAGTCCCTGCCCAGGGCCTTGTGCTCCTCCACAGCCACCCTGGAGGCAGCCTGAGTATTATCCCACATTGCCCAGGGCCAACTCAGCCCATGGGGGTGAGTGTGCAATGAATGTGGGTTTTGGTAAGGTGACAGAGAAAGGGTAAGGACAGAAGAGAGGAGGGGGCTCCATTGGCTCCTCGGAGAGTGAGAATGTGGTCCGGGACAAGTGCTGTGGAAATAGGGCAATTTCCCAGAGTCCATAGAAAAGCCGGAGAACATCAGACCCCATGGATCCGAAGCCTGTGTGCAAGCCCAGGCCAGAGGTCACTGTGCCCTTGATGCATCTTTGGGAGGGAAATTTGAGCAAGAGGGACAAATGGGTGTGGGCAGCAAACTGCCCACCTAGAGGCCTTGGTTCTGAAGGATTTTCCTGTCACTCAGCTCTCTTCATCGCCTCCTTTGAGAGTGAAGGTCCTGAGAATCACATGGAAAAGGACAGCTGGAAGACTCTCAGGTAGGAGAACTTGAGGGCCAGCTGTGAGCCCCTGGGCCAGCCCTAGGCCAAGATATGAGGAAGGGAAGGATGGTGGGAGGAGGGCATCAGTGGATTTTGCCTAGAAGGAGGGCAAAGGTAAGTCTACCCAGGTCTTGAAAGCATGCAGCTGTTCAGATAGTGAGAAGCTGAGAACTTAAGGAGCTCTGGTATTGTAGTGGTTACGAATTGGGCTGTGAACCTTAAGGTCAGCAGTTTGAAACTACCAGCTGTTCTGCGGGAGAAAGATGAGGCTTTCTGTTCCCATAAAGATTTACAGCCTCAGAAACCCTGTACAGGGTCGCTATGAGTCGGAACCGACTCCACGGCACATAACCAACCAACCAACACTTCCCCTGGTGACTGGTTCCTGAAATTGCAACCCTTTCCTTCTCAGAGCATGGTGCTGAGCTCCCAGATGCTTAGAGGAAGGAGTTTGCCTGGAAGCTTCTTACTGCCTAACTGTTTCCTTTTTCCATACCCATCTTTAGGACAACTCTCCTTAACAGAGCCTGAAGGTCCAGGATGCAGCCTATGGACATGAAGTGAAGCACACATTTTATTCCTGACAGATATGACTTTAGATGAAGAAGGCCTCACTGGTTGGGGTCCATTTTGTACATACCTTTTATGAAAAAGAAATGGTTATTATTTCATGCATCAACCTTTGGCCCTTGACAGAAAATGTTTTTGGTTTATTTTAAATAACAGGGCAGGGTCCTGTTTCAGGGAATGGGAGAGGGGGGGTAAGGGAGGGGAGGGGATCATGGAAGATGGCATCCATGATATAACATCTTATTCTAATGAAATGTAGATTTTTGTTTTCTACTTTCGATTAACACTTTAAAAAAATATATTAAAAAAAAAAAAAAAAAAAACCAAACCAACACGATCCCTGCCTGCTTGGATGCCTTTCCAGCCAGTGTCTTTGATGTCGGGGTTAGTGCCTTAAAGGGTACTGAAAGGGTCTACTCTCCCTGCTCCTTTTAGCCCAAAGTAAGCTAGGGTAGGCACCCAAAGTTCTACTGCAGAGCCCCAGGCTCTGCCCGAAAGCATAGGCCAGCATGATTCCAGCAGGGAGGGCTGCGGTGGCCAGGAGGTCACGGTTGCATATTTCTGAGAGTGAACCTTTGAGTACTGGCTTTCCAAAGTTTACATTTTCCTTTTCCTTTATCAGGGACTTGTCGGATAGGCAAGGGCAGGGAAACACCAGGTCTATACAGAAGCTACAAGTTGCCTACCTGGCAACACATTTTCTGTTGGACTATGTCTGACAAATTCTTCTTCAACTGAATTTAGAAAACAAAATCTCTAAAATAATAGAGAGTCCTGAAATAGTTTTCAGTTTTTAAAGCTGTGACTGAAAGACACACTTTGTTCTAATGAAGAGAATACAAAGTAGACTGCTGCAAGATGACATTGAACGCTGCTATGTAAATCCAAGTACAGTCTAAAAATAAATGGTTTCTGCAGTCAGGTATTTTTGTGGCCTGCACTCCTGGCCCTCTCTGGGTGGGAGACTCCCTTAATTGTAATCTTGAAACAGAAATGAGCTAGACTATGAATTGCTGGAACCCACTCAAATAAAACTGCCCAGTACCTGGAGATATATCCCACACCCAACATTTGAAGCATCAATTTCATGCTCCCTATCTGACCACTGTGGTTTTGTTCCATTAGAAAACTGGGTATGGTCCATCCACCTATCACCAGACCCTCCTTGCAACAGGGTTTTGTTCCTGTTCAAACAGACTTGGAATTAGTCATCTGTCTCTCAGCATGCCTTTCTTCAGCAGGACTGCCTGGAATTGAGTTGCCTACAGGGCAAGCCTGCTCGCCAAGGGGTGCTGGGAGTCCCACTTAGGAAGGAGTGGTGACTGTGGGTAACCTGCTGCTACCATTTCCCTCTGCCCTGGATTGACTAAGACTATAGGCACTGTATTGTTACAGTGTGTTTGCACTTTTCAGATGTTCTAGATAGTACATGTTGTATATTGATAGTACATATTGCCTTGTTTATGTATTTGAGATCAAGAAAGGCTTAAAACTTGAGAATATATATTTGAAATACAGTGTTAGAAAATTTCTGTACATGTGTTAAAGAGCTTTCACATAAATGTGCACTACACTAGTACCTACTTCAAAAAGGCGTCTATTTGCAGCTTTATTTCCCCTGTTTGATACACATCCTCATAATGCTGTTGTGGTACTTTGAAATGAGCTAAGTATAACGATGTACTGTAATGTTGGCTGTCGGTTTCTGTGTGATTGGATGTACTTGCATCAATAAAAGGATACATTGCTCCTCCTTCAGTGCCGGATCTCTATGCGCATACGCCCAAAGGAGAGGCAGGACACCTGCTGCTGGAGCAGGAGACGCTGGGGCTGGAGATAGTGAGGAAGGGGAGGCCGCTAGCACCCACCACTAAGGTTAAAAGGGACCAGGTAGAGAGTGTTCATGTATGTTGTTGTTAAGTGCTGTTGAGTCAGTTCTGACTCAGTGACCTTGTATAGGGTTTCCAAGGAGCGGTTGGTGGGTTTAAACCACCCACCTTCTTGTTCAAACCAAGCTTGGAGTCTAGCACGTATCTTATAACGCCACACAGTTGAACAAAAAAAGCATTGCTGTAGATATGATTCCTACTCACAGTGACCCTAGGACAGAGTAGACCTGCCCCATAGCGTTCCCAAGGCTGTCATCTTCACAGAAGCAGATGGTCACGTCTCTTTCCTGGGGAGTAGCTGATGAGTCCCATATGCCACCAGGTCTCCTTCTCAGTTTTGGTTACCTGTTACAAATCCAAATCTAGGGCACATTCTGATAAGGGCTTTTCATATAAAGAATCCACAACAACAACAAAGGTGGTACAGGGGAATGGTTCCAGTTTTGCTTTCCTTTGTTTGTCCTTTTGTGAAAAACCAAAGATGATTTGTGAAATACACCAATACACAAATACCCACATAAAATGTGTGCCATGTTTGTCTAGGAGGCTAAACAGGATAGAGTGTAAGAGCAAGGGATCAAGAGTTGGACTGTCTGAATTTGAATCATCTCGTTTCGAGATGGGTGTCCTTAGCAAGTAATTTACTTTTTTTTAACCCTACTTTTCTTCATGATTGAAATGAGAATTACAAACATATCTATCTCTTGTGGTTGTTGTAAGACTAAATGGCACAGAACACAGTGCCTGGGATGTTGTAAGCAGTCAAACAAACTTGGCATTCAAAAATACTTTCTAAAGGAAAAATCTACTTTTAGTCACACAAGAAAAGTCATAGTACTAAAAGGAAGGAGTCCTGGTGTGTAGGATAAGCACTGGACCACAAGGTTGGTATGAACCACTAGGTCAGCAGTTCAAACCCACCAGCTGCCCCTTAGAAACTCCATACAGGGTCACTATGCATTGGAACCAACTCTATGGCACTTCCCAATGACAACAACACTGAAAGTAAAGTGAAGGGCTGCCAAAGAATATCAGTCATCCACCCCACCTGCCCGTGACTTTAGTGTGGCTCTTCAGCAACAGTGTTAGGTGAGCAATATATTATTTTGCCAAGCGCAGGAAGGTAACTTGTATGTCTGCCCATCTGACACTATGGAAGACTGACTGCTTGCTGGCTGAAACACTCAATCTTGTTGCTAAGTGCCATCAATTTGGTTCTCATCCATAGCCATCCTGTATAGGGTTTCCGAGGAGTGACTGGTGAGCTTGAACTGCCGAACTTGCAGTTCAAACAACTTTGCAGTCCAGCACATTAACCCACACTAGGACTTTTATGGTAAATTTTGTGTAAATTTTAAAACTCCAGGGGACATATGGACCTAACATGATATGAAACATACTCTGACTGATATGAAAGGACTAACAGACACCTCCACAATAATAATATTTGGGGAAATCAATATACTAGTTTCAATTCTGGACATAACATTTAAAAATAAGATCAGTAATGACATACAGGGCTTAAATAATACCAATAAGCCAACTAGATCTAATTGACATGTAAAGAACACATCACTCATCAGAACAATACATATTTTTCTCCCATGCACTTGGATCATTTTCCAGAATAGGTCATATGTTAGGCCATAAACAAAGTGTCAACAAGGTTTTAAAAATTGAAATTAGACAAAGGTATCATCTCTGGCCATAAAAGAATAATATTAGAAATTAACAGCAGAAGTAAAACTAGAAAACACCCAAATTCTTGGAATTTAATGCACCTTTAAATAGCTTTGGGGTGAAGAAAGCATGAGTGAAATAAAAAAAATCAAGAGTAAATAAAAATGAAATCGTATCAAAGCATATTGGTTACATTATTCTAAGGAAAATGTTTAGCAATTGTTGTTATTAGGGGCTGTCACGTTGGTTCAGACTCACAGCGACTCTACGTACAACAGAATAAAACAATGCCAGTTCTGCGCCATCCTCAAAATTGTTATGCTTAAGCCAACTGTTACTAACACTGTGTCAATTCATCTTGTTGGGACTGTACCTCTTTTTCATTGATCCTCCAAATATGATGTCCTTCTCCAGAGACTGGTCCCTTCTGATAACATGTCCAAAGTATGAAAGACAAGTCTCACAATCCTTGTTTCTAAGACTTATTCGGACTACATTTCTTTCAAATCAGATTTGTTTGCTCATCTGGCAGTCCATGGTACTTTTCAATATTCTTCTTTAACACCATCATTCAATGCACAGATACTTCTATGATCTTCCTTATTCATTGTTCAAATTTCACTTGCATCTACAGCAATTGAAAATACCAGAGTCAGGCACACCTTAGTCCTCAAACTGACATCTTTGCTCTATAACACTTTAAAGAGGTTTTTGTAGCAAACATGCCTAATGCCATTATTTTTAGGTGCCACTGAGTCGGTTCGAACTCCTAGTGACCCCATGCACAGCAGAAGGAAACACTGCCTAGTCCTGCACCATCCTTACAATGGTTGTTAGATTTGAGACCATTGATGCTGCCACTGTGCCATCTTTTGAGGGGTCTTCCTTTTTTTCATGGACCCTCTACTTTACCTTGTATGATGTCCTCCAGGGACTGGTCCTTCCTAATAACATGTCCTAAGTCTCCCCATACTGACTTCTAAGGAGCTTTCTGGTTGCTTTCCTTACAACACAGATTTGCTTGTTCTCTGGCAGTCGATGGTTGTTGTTGTTAAGAGTCATTGATTCCATTTCAACTCATAGTGATGCTGCATAGTGGTTCCAAAGAGTGGCTTGAACTGCTGATCTTGCAGATAGTAGTCCAGTGCTTATCCTGTTGTGCCATACCAGGACTCCATGGTATTGTCAATATGCTTCTCAACACCATAACTCAAATGCATCATTTTTTTTCTCCAGTTTTCCTTATTTACTGTTCAACATTCACATGCATATGAAGCTTTTGAAAATACTATGGCTTGGGTCAGGAGCACTTTAGTCCTCAAACTGAAATCTTTGCTCTTGAACACTTTAAAGAGGTTTGTGTAGCATTGCCTAATGCAATGCTTCTTTTGA